AACACACTCCCTAGCACTACAAGAGCCACCGGGGGCTTCAGCCGTCAACACCACGAAGAAGTGAAGCCACATATGACGAACCGTGGGCTTCAAGGCGGCGCCTTCAGGAAGGATACGGCACCGGAGCGCCACCACCGCCCGGTCCGAGGATCAGAGTTTCCCCTGGAGCAACACGACGGGCAATGATAGCCGCGACGGCGCCTTCAAGAAGGGAGTGATCTTCGCCGTCGCCAGTCCGTCCGAATAGAGTAGGTTTTCACCCCGGCCAACACTCACCGCCACCGAACGCCACACCCCGGCTACCATGCAGCCCACACGGCCATGGCAGTCGGGCAGCACCGAGGCACGAGCTCTGCCCATGAGCACCGCGCCACCACCACCAGGGCCGCCGCCCCAGAATCCAAGACCTTGACACCGAGTCCCTCGAGCCCTACCGCTACCCCAACCGCAGAAACGGGCGGAAAGGATCCGCCTTTCGCACCCCTGGCCGGACCCAGCGCCGAGACCCAATAGGCTAGCCACAACAAGCCTCCATCAAATCGTCCTGCTACACCGGGCGCGAGTCGAGCACGGTCCTGCTGCCGGGCGCGAGACCAGCTCGGTCCAGCGGCACCGAGTGCGAGACGGTCGATGGACCTCGGCCGGGGGAAGGCCGGCCCTCCGGCGAGAGAAGCGAACGAACGCCAAGGAGAGGGGTCGAAGGCCGACACAGGCAGCCTACAGACGAGCCGACGCCAGACCAATCTGGCCGCTGCCGCAATCAACCTGCCACCACCACATCACCTGCGCCTCCACGCCCTGGTCAGAACCACCCGAAGCCCCGCCACCCCGCAACGGAGCAGCACGGACACCGATCGCCACACCACCACCTCCACGGGGTCGACGGCCACCCCGACAGCGAAGACCCCCACATCCACCGGGTCTGGGCCGGGATGCCCAGATCCGCCACCAGCACGACCTTGACCACCAGATCCCACGAGCTGCAGGGGGGAGGAGTCGTCACTGGCGGGTCACAAGGGCGCGGGGCGGAGTGCCGGAGCAGGAGCCGGCCGGGACCCGACGCCGCGGGCAGGAGGGAGGCGGCCGGCGACGCCATCCATCCGCGCGCAGGGGAGCACCGCCCCGCCGCCGCCTCGGCCACACGACCTTTGGTCGGCGGCGCCCCCGGCGGCAGCGAGGCAGGGGGAGGCGAGGCGGAGGACCGGAGGGAGGCGCGAGGGTTGCCTCCCGACGGCGCTCGCGGGAGCGCCTCGGGAGGGAGAGGGGGCGTCTTCACTGTGTTTTTCTCCAATGCAGAGAAATTCCAAGCGAGATCTCTTCACAGAAGATAATGGAAACTCACGGCCCAATGCAAGTAAGCAAGCTCATCAGATCCGCAAGGATCGGTATAAGAAGAAGCGTGAACTAAAGCAAAAGATGCTCACAATTACTCATGCGGAACTGCTGGCCTTGCAATCTGAAATTCATCAGATGGAAGATGGATTCAACAGAGAAGCAGATTATTGCTTTGGTCCCAAGGATCGGCTCACTGCACAAGTGTAGAATCAAAATGTTTATGTCAGTTCTTCTGCACCCCCGCCTGAAGAAATTTTGGTGGCTGAAGAAATTGTAGAGCCTGACGAAACAACTCTTTCTGCAACAGTGATTCTTGATGAACCTGTCAACTCAACAGTCATTTCTCCTGCAAATTCTTCACGTGTGAAGAAAACCATTCTTCCTTCTGCATCAGAAGTGAAGAAGATCAAGGCTGCCAAGAAAGACGATCTAAAGAAAAGAAAATCTTCAGATCCCGCTAGTGCTGAAACTGTGAAGAAGTTGAAGACTGATGCAAGTGCTACAACTGCACCAATTTATGTTGAGCCATTGGCCACAACGCCATCCACAGCTGAAGAGACTCACCGTCGCCTAATTCCGTTCTCTAAAGAACGTGAAGGTGAAGAAATTCCTGCTGCTTCCTCAGAGCAGGTAGATGAGGAAATTGATGTTGACACAAAAGCGACGTCACACATGGTATCATCGCCCCAGCCTCAGTTAACTGCTGAAGAGGTTGGAGTTGAAGAAGAAGAAGAAGAAGAAGAAGAAGAAGAATTGACAATGCCACAACTCCACTCATCCATGATGAATTTTGGAAAGAAGAACACCCAAATTCTCCTCTGCACACACCTCTGACGCAGTTTCCTCAGTCGCCATGTCAAACAAAAGAAGTTCTTGGTGGTTTTGAAAAACGACACACTCATCTTCAGACCATCCCTTTTCTATTTTACTTCGCATATATGGCTTGTTCGAAGTCAAACTTTGTAAAGTTTAATCAAATTTATATGAAAATATATTAATATATACAATACTAAAGTAATATAATATGGAAATTAACTTCACAACGCATCTAAGTATTGATTTTGTACTATGAATGTTAATAATTCTTCCTATCAAATTGTCTAATCCCATCCCAGAGACCCATGTGTGCATGCATCGTCTACGATAACTAGCACCAGGTTCCCAACTGGAAGTATGTCTACCTCAAGAGGTGCCAAAACGAGTGTTAAATGCGTCGCGGGTGGCCTCAAGCTGTGACGACGACTCCGACGCTATAAGCGAGCCTATGGTTTTATCACCTATCATCTGTTGAGAACCAACCCTTTCATGTTTGGGGTAATCATCAGCTGAAATGCTTCAGCAATTAAAGGTAAAAAAAGTTTGACGCGGGATAACTAGATGAATTTATATGTCCAGCCTGAGGAAGCATGCCAAAGTGAAATTTTAACAGAAACAAGTGTCGGAATAAGCAAACACTTTTTTGACTTCAAATTTGTAAGATACCTTACTCCAGTAGCTAGATCCGTATCGAAGTATGATGCTTAGAAGTGTTAAAATCATTCAATACAAGTGGCTCTCTCTAGACCCCCAGACAGTGGCTAATCCCCATCACGATGGACGGAGAGAAAGCCAAAGCTGGTGGCAGCCGGAGAGTACTGTGCAGAAGATACGTTAACAGAAGACATCGCCTCCGTCCCAGGTCCCATTACTTATGTTGTATATAAATCACTGAGTTGTATAGTCTCAATTATCTTATCACCGTTTTAAAATGAGTAGTTGGAGGGAGCCAGCTGCACCACTCATAACCTGTGCAAACCAGCCTGGTTGACCTCCAAGACCACACACACACACACACACACACACACACACACACATCTCCCCATTCATCTCCCTCCATGGAGTCGCGATTCAAAAAAGATGGAGTTGTTAACATGACGAGGGCAATGGAGGCTTTGTCCCCTTGGTTGAACAACCCAGGGAGGACGATCGGGCAGGTTGAAGTTCTGGTGCTAGCGGCCGCAGCGCTGCTGCTTCTCCAGCTCATCTTGGGCTCCTGCAAGCCACGTTGGCATCATTCCTTCGTCAAATTTCCTGAGTGTGTGTAGAACACTTGTGTTCCCTCTTGTCCTCTACACCTTGGGTATGATGCAGTCCTTCCCAATCAAGATTTCGTTGTATCCCGTCTGGGCTGTTGTTCTCATGATGGCTTCAGTGGGCACGACGGGAGTAGAGCAATATGATTTTTATGGCAGCTTTGACAAAAAGTACATGGAGGTTGTTGTCGACATTTGTAAATATTAGTTCTATGCAATTATGATGGCTATGCTAGTAACCCCAAGTACAACTTTAAGCTTCAGAGAACAGGATGGCAGCGTAAGTTCCTATTGTGTTGTCTGTCTTTCTTCGGCCGTTTTGTTGACAGCGGGTATCGAATCCCTGGGGTTAACAATGTTGGGATACTTCAAGCATTTTCCTATCACACTAGTTGCAAAGAGGATGGAGGAAAGTCCAAATGATCATCCGTGTTACTGTGAACCTGAGAGCATGAAGGGCTACAATTACATAGTCTTGGAGAGACCCATCTTTATCATCGGCCAATTTGTCTGTGGCAACTCAGATCGATGCATTAGCATTGACCAGATATGGGATTATTGTGACAACTCAGCTGATGGCAAAACATTGAAAGACTTCTGCCTGTCATATGCCTTGTGCCGGCAGCTCTTGGAACGGCGCTACTTCAGGAAACTCTGTCCTGAAGCCAGCCTTCTCAAGGCTCACGATTTTTTCTTCAAAACATTGTTGCCATCTGAAGGGGATTTCAAAAGAGCATTCAGAATTATCGAGGTAGAGTTGGGTTTTTGCTACGATTTCTTCTTCACAAAGTATCACTATCCTTTCTATCAATGGAATCATGGTCACCACTCGTTCCATTTTTGATTTTAGTCAAGATAATTCTCATTTTAACAGTTGGAGTGTTTGCCTTGACAAAATCACTGATTCTTGAGACACCAAGACCTATCATAGAAGTACAAAGTACTGATGCTGATTACATCATTACTCTGCTAGTTCTCGCTATAGTCCTTGTTGTTGAACTAGCACAGGCAGCATTTTATCTGGCTTCAGATTGGGTCCAGGTATCAGTAGCCTGCAGGTATGTCAAGAAAAATTGTAATGCAGCCAATGCACGTTTTGGAAGAGTTGTTGGTTTTCTTAGAAGGGTTATTAATTCTGGATCCTTGAGAAATAAGATCAACCAACACTCAGTTGTTCTTCGACGGAAGCACTTAGACCCAATAGAGGTTTCTGATGCAGTGAAGGGGGCTATTGCTAGGTCGCTCATATTAACTGATGGCAACCTAACCAACGGAGAAACATCACTAAGGAAGAACCAAATGTTCGGGAAGTGTTATTGGACATTCAGGGATCACTCTCAGCTGGAAGTCATGTTCATTTGGCATATCGCAACCGAGTATTGTGAAATTTCTGACGATGATAGAAATGGGATTACTCGACATAATGGCTGAGGCGCTGCAGTTAATTTGTCTAGATACTGTGTATACTTGATTCGATCTGTCCCAGAACTGCTTCCGTACCACGAGGTGGATACATTAGAGTTGAGATCCAAGGTGGGGAAAGAACGTAAGCAGCTTTTCGGATCCTATAAAAATTCTGAGATTTACGATAAAATGAAGATTTTAGATGGGACAGAAGAGGGAGATGACCCTGTGACAGTCTTGGAGAAAGGCGTGAAGCTCGGCAAGCAGCTCGCGAGCATGCCGGATGTGCTTGAGCGCTGGAAGGTGATGGAAGATTTCTGGGCCGAGACAATCATCTACGTCGCGCCCTCGCACTCCACCGGCAAGCAACACATGCAGCATCTTGAGAGTGGCGGGGAGTTCCTCACCCATATCTGGGCCCTGCTTTCTCATGCTGGCATCCTGAACCTTAACCGGGACAAGGAGCAGGGGGCACAGGCAGAGGCTGTGTGACTCAAGTCGACCGCAGAACAGCCTCCGGCCGGCCAGACTCCCTTTTGCCAGGTTACTTTGTGATTGCCCATCACTATTTATTTTCCAAAATGGCAGTGTTTTGTGTGTGTGCGGCGTTTCTTATGTGTGTACTGTGAACAATGGATGCTATGTATATTTCAAAGATGTATTTGAACATGGTGTACCTTTTGTACTGAGAACTAAGCAAGTCATTTTCTGGGAAAGGAATACTTATCCAGCATGTATGTAGTACATTTCCGTGCGTTGCCGCCTTTCTGTTTTGCACGAGGCGTGCACTTAGTCAGTATGGAGATCCTCACAATAATTCAGACTTCAGTGTATGTAGTACAGGCATTGCTCTTACCCGAATGCGAGTGGGTTGCCGGCGCGGTGCCACCTCACACTTCCGCTTGGTTGTGAAGCCGAATGCTAGGGCAGCCTCGAGCTCCGGTCGCCGCCGGCCGATCTCCTCTCCGTTCTCCTGCTTACCGCGCCAAAGGTCGGAACGGCATCCTCAAACTCGGCGGTGGCGCTAAGGCAGGAGATCGGGGATGGATCCCGACGCCCGCAGGAAGGACCGCCGCGGAGAACAGGGGAGACCACTCGATCACTCCGGTGGCCGGCGCGCGATCTGGTGGAGGCCGGAGGGTGCTCCGCGGTACGCGCTGGATAGCCGGAATCGCGCGTACCCACCAGTCAACAACCCCGCTGGAGCAAACTGGGCCGGCCCAGTAAACATAGCAAGGCGACCAAGGGACATTTTATTCTCTGCTTTCTTTATCGGGTTTTCTCAGCCGGGTTCTTTTATTATGGTCGGTTTCCTATCAAAATATTTTTTGTCAAAATACTAAAAACCTACAAAATAGTTCGCGATTTCAAAAATGAAATCCTTCGGGATCGTATATTGATTGTGATGAGATAAAACCCTACGTCATGCTTCTTATATATTGATTGTGATGAGACACAAAGTACAAATTGATCTACCTCGAGATCGTATCAAGATGTTCTAAGCTCTAAACATTGTGAAGCGTCTGCATGGCTCGACAGACTAAACCCCTAGGGTTTACAAATGGCCGGTTGCGATCCAAGATAAGCGTGCCAATCCTCTAGATACATCGTAAAGTGTACGATAAGTCTTCACGTGGTCTTCATTTGGATGACGGTGAGGGTATCAGCCTAGCCAGGACCCATTCGACCACTGGTAGATCCTCAGACCGGCCCATAAGTGATGGGCGGACATGGTGCGCACCCTCCTAATCCGGGACACCGTCACCAAGAGCCTCTTAGTGTCTGCACACTTGGTTCTCTCAGGTACTGAAGTCTGAACACCTCGACCACGACAGTTGCAAATCTGACCATGGCATCTCCGCATGTGCTCTCAGACATCCATAGGTACTCGTCCCACGAATCAGCAGTTGTGTCATATGCAAGCATTCGTAGTGTGGCTGTGCACTTCTGGTAACCAGAGAAACCAATCGTTCCCACATCGTCCTTCTTCAAGATGACGTAGTCATCATAGGACCGAGCGCCATGATACAAACGATCGAAGACAGTCTTGTGCATCCGAAAATGCCAACGAAAATGGTCACCGAAGAGTGCATCTAGGGCAAAGTAGTTGCCATTGGTGTCAAAAGGCCTCGCGTCCTGTTGCGGTTGATCACTCGATGACCCTTGATCGAGCCCTTAAAATTGAGAACAAGCTCCTTCGCACGCTCCGCGTCTTCAAGGACTGCCTGCATCATCGCCGTCTCATCCGAGTACTCGTCCTCGTCGGACGAACCGTTGGACGACTCAGCATATTGCTCGTATATGTACTCCAAATCGGAATCCATTGCTAGAAAGAAGAAGGGACAACTTTTGTAGCTCCGACAATTCATCAAACAAGTGACGGGCACGATGAGTATAGCAGTAGCGGATGGTACCTGGTGGGGTGGTCGAATGAGAGGGGTTGAACGGCAACAGAGAAGAAGTGGGGGTGGAGATCGGCTGGAACGCTGGAGGTGACAGAGACGTGGAGAGTTCCGGCAGGGGTGTGGCATGGCGGCCGGGGTGATGGAGCGGCGGCGAAGGCAAGAGAGAAAGAAGAAAGGAAAGAAAATGTCAAGGCTGGAGGCACGGGTCCAGGAAGGATTTTGGGTGGGCCGAGGGTGTCGAAGTCCTGCGTGTATGTTGTCCGGACTCCCGCAAAGCTTCCACACATTTCTTTTCGGTTTGCGGGAGAAAATACGTCTGCACTGCTCCACGGACCGATACAGAACCGCGTTGGATGGTTTCCGCGGTCCGGACAACGCGATCCGAAGCGTGTGAATAGCGGTTTACGGGTCCGCCTTGAAGATGCCCTTACACACGACACACTTGTGCACCCTCTAACTAACATTCTTGGTCAAGATACAAAGGGGTCAGCTTAGCAAGCCATCGACCAAAAAATGCAATAAAAAAAACATTCTTGGTCAAGATCGATTATTTTGATTGTTCAACGTTGTTCCACTGAATTAGATGCGCAGTTGTCGTATGTTTCATACTTTTCTTCGTTTTGGAGTGGAATCACAAACTTGGCGTGTGTTGCACTACGTTCCAACTCCGAGAGTATACTATGAACACAATCTCTGCCCTTTTAACTCAAGATTGCTTTTCAGAAGATTATTCCCGTCCCACGGTGATCGAAATCTCAACCGGGTGATGATTATTAGCACTAACAGTGCTTGATCTAATGATCTTGTTACAAGCACCAGCAGCCGGATCGAGCGGGGACGAGAGAGACGACGTCAAAAAAGCTCTCTATCTACACGTAGGGTGAACATCCATGGCGCCGATGCATATCTTCTCTGCTACTACTACTACAGTCTTATCGGAGAGGGCGCTGCAGCTGGATGACGAGCACGCTGATGTCGTCGGAGGAGCCCCTGGACACGGCCATGTCGACGAGCCGGCGGCACGCGGCGGGCAGGTCGCCGGAGGAGGCGGCGGCGGCGTCGACGGCCTCCTGGTTGCCCACCTTGTCCCACAGCCCGTCGGAGGCGAGGATGAGCAGCTCGCAGTCGGCGCCCAAGTCGACGGTTCTAGTCTCCGGCTCCGCCACCACCCACGGCTTGAGGTGCGCGTCGCCGATGCCCCGGGTCACCGCCAGCGAGCCCTGCACCCGCCATACGCCGCGGCAGTTGAGCACCAGCCCGCCTTTCAGCGCCTCGATCCGGTCCCGCTCGTCCTGCCGCGACGCGCGGTGGTCGTCGGTGAGCGCCTCCGCCCTGCCGCCGCGGCTCAGGACCGCGCGGCAGTCCCCGGCGCCGGACACCACCAGCTGCCGCCCGCCCTCGCGGAGCAGCGCCGTCACGCAGCAGGCGCCCCCGCCCGCCTGCTCCCGGTTCTTGGAGGAGGTGGAGGAGAACTCCTCGTCGGTGCGCAGGTACGCCCGCCGCACGGCGCCCTCCACCGCCGCGCGCCCTGCCCCTCCGCCGCGCGCCGACCTCTCCAGCTCCTCCGCCACGATCCGTGGCATGTTCTCCGCGGCGAACTCCGCGGCGCTCTTCCCTCCGTGGCCGTCGAACACGGCGAAGAGGGCCTGCGCGCGGTCCCCGCCGAGCGCGACGGCGGCGACGTGGCGGTCCTCCATCTCGACCCGCTTCCGGCCCTTCCCCCTCCGGCAGAAGGCCGCGAAGCCGTCGCCCTGCTCCGCCACCTCGTCCACCCCGCTCGCCGCGGCGGCCTCCAGCACCGCCGGCGCGACGGTGACCGCGGCCGGAACTAGCAGAGGCGCCGGGCGCCTGCGCTTGACCGGGGCCTTAGCCGGAGCAACAGAAGAAGAATCCTCAGCCTTGACGGCGGGCAGCGGCGGGGCGGCGCACGGGGAGGGGTCGGGGTGGATGCGCGCGCGGAGGTGGGCGAAGGGGCGGAGCGGCGAGGAGGGGAGGAAGGAGGCGCCGCTGCTGGAGCAGCCGTGGTGGTGGTGGTGGTGGAGCTGCTGCTCCAACTGCTGGAGCAGGCCGAGGCGGGACGGCGAGAAGACCGGCGAGCCCGGTGCCACCGCGCACGCCATGTATCCTTCCCTTGCTTTCCTCGCTTGCCTTGCTCACTCGCTCTGCCAAGTTGCTCTGCGGCGAGACCGAGAACTCCTAGCTCCTCCTCCTCTTCTTGCTGCTGCTTCGATGGTGAGCTCTTTTCTTGTTACTCCATTGATGGGCTCCTCGTATATGTAGGCGGGGGGAGGTGGGGTGCTAGCTGCGGCCTGCTATCGCTCGGCCGGACACGATGGCGACGCGCGCGTTTGTTTACCATAGTTCGGCCGATTAAACTAGTCTAGTCAAAGATGGATGGACCCGGCGAGCGACGGGGCGAGAGATCCGTGCGACCTGCTCACCCAGTGACTCGACGCCGCAATTAACAACCGTATTAGTGACATGACATTAATTATTTTTAACACGCTACAACGAAAGCGCACAATGAACACACCCACACATACCCCTACTAGTAGAATGCCCGTGCGTTGCAACGGGCTTTTAAAGTGCTCTTCATTTGTTCCCTTTGTCTTCCCTTAACTAAAATGTTTCTCACAGTGATATGTGAACTCATAAATTTACAACCAAACCAACATATCAAGAGGTAAAAACATATTTATCGAAGAGCATATGTACATCAGATTCAACATTAAGGTTCTGATGTCCGGTAGATTGAGAACAAAAAAAATGGTGACTTACCAACAAATCTCATTTATATTTCAGAACATGGTTGTCCTACAATTGTGTGCCTACAAGATCTTTCTTCCCCTTCCTCCCTCCCTCCCTCGATCTATCGCCCCTCTCTCCCCTCTCTCTCACTCACTCTCTTAATCTCGAATGTATTGCCTTCTGAAGAGGGCTCTAGCGGTCTAGTAGCCGTCTTGTGAGCTGGTCGTCATTCTTGTTGTTGGGGGCGACAGCGAATGAATGAGACATGGGTATGTGAGGCATCACAAAAATGCGATTTCAAAATTTTATTTGGAAAACTTTTCTAGCTCAAACTGCTTATTCAAGTTTGAAAATCAAATCACATGTATAGAAAACATTTTTTTCACAAACAATATGGGTGCAAGGAGACATGTATAAGGGCATATGTTGTAGAGGAATATCGACTTTTTATACATGGGAGGAACCAACAAAGAAATAAAAATTTGAGAAAATGTTGGGCACAACTGTATTCTCACATGTGGACCTACAATAGATGTTAGTAAATAGATACTCCCTCCATCATCCCAAAATAAGTACCTCAACTTTATAGTTGTAGACGGGTATTTTAACTGCTTCATTTCTTGAGACACTTATTTTGGGACGGAGGGAGTACTTCAGGAGTCACAACGACATTTTTAAAAGTGTTATTACCCATCCAAAGAAAGATATTTATGTTGCATAAACACCAGAAACCAAAATTCAGCCCAATAAAGTGTACTGATCTTAGTTATTAGCATTACTCACTTGATAGGAGCCGTAATAATCTGCTCATATGTTGCTCCCTTAAATCTAAGGGTGAAATAAACAACAGAAAAATCGACAGTGGGAACATGGAAGGCCATTCCAATCAATTTTCTAACGAGTTCTGGAAGCACCTTACCAATAGCATGCAAGAAATGAAGCAGTTAAAAATACTCGTCTACAACCATAAATGACGTAGTTTGCGTACCACGAGAAAGTATGTTCAGTCCTAGCTTGTCTTACGAGTAATATACTCCCTCCGGTCCTTTTTAGTCTACATATAAGTTTTGTCTGAAGTCAAAGTATCTCTATTTTGATCAAACTTATAGAAAAAAATATCAACATGCACAATGACAAATCAATATTATTAGATTCGTTATGAAATGTAGCTTCATAATTCATATATTTGATATTGTAGATGTTCATATTTTTCAATATAAATTTGGTCAAACATTGCAAAATTTAACTTGACACAAATCTAATACGCGGAGTAAAAATGCCGGAGGGAGTATGTAAAACAATTTTTTTCAAGGCTGACAATAATGTGTTGTGTCCATAACATTGAAGATATACTATGAACATGTCACCTTCTAACATGCCTGCAACTCCTTAATTTATTTCTCGGAGGATGATTCAACAATCTTCAAGTGTACAGTAGAAGCTCCATCTTTTCCTTTCCCCACACCCGTGCAAGAATGCCGCAAGTTCCATGTCCACCTCCCTCTCGAGCAAGACTTGACCGACTGCCTCTCCCCTCCGGCTTCCTGCACCTCAAGACCACATAAAAAAATCAGAAACCACATAAACCGGTCCACAAAGCACTGAACAAAATTAGAACATACTTGAAGTCGCATACACCATGTTTTCCATCGATGGCGCCTACATCCCATGGCGCATCAATCATAGGCTAAAACGCTCAGAACTTCCAATGATGACATGATAAATATCAAGCATGTGATAACAATGGAGTCTGATGTACAAGAACTCTGATGAAAGCATCACTAAATCTAGCAATACTTGGTTATGTAGTTTCATGCATGAACAATTGAACATTCATACACGCTCAAATAAAGAGAGCATGTTATATATTCAAATTTCGAGCTTGGCACGGAAACTGAAGATAGTCTAAAAATTCAAGCATTGGTGTTTTTGATGATCCTGCTAGTACAACTTTTATAGTTAGGATAGTCGCCTTGCTATTTCCATTTGAAAGAAAAAAAACACCAACATTTGGGACGGGTATGGCGATGCGACCCCTCACCTGCGTTTCTGCAAAACCTTGTTAGTTGCTAGCATCCATAGCTCAAGCTCACCCCTTTGACTGGCAGCGTGCGAGAGACCGCACCGGCCGGCCGCTGCTGACTGGCGGGAGCAGGTGAGGAATGCAGCGACACACACACACAATCATCATCATCAAGCAAGCAGCCAAGCACACATAATTATAGAACTAAAACTACGGTTTTCATAGTTGAGAAACAGGGTGGACATTGTTGGAGCTGATCCCCAACTCCTTCTTCCTCTCAGTTTCTCACAAGTTCGCACAGGAACAATGGAACACAGAAGTTTTTTGGCGTCGTGCTGCTTCACACAGCCACGACCTTTTCTCTCTGTATTTCTCTTTCTCAAAGCAAACATACGTACAACTCTTAAATAAAACACACACGCACGCACACAACCGAGGCAAAGCCGCCCTGATTTTTGTGGCACTAACCCATGCACCAACGCACCACTAACCAACTATCCCATGCGGCTAATCTTCTTCCTAGACCTGGCATGCAATACTAACAAACTCACCCGTCTACTCCTCAGGGCCTTGGCTTCAGCTTACCTTTTCACACGACGGCGTGCCGATTCACACGACACTACATCTCACCATCTACATCGCTTCACACGATCTGGCATCTCACCTTGCACACTTGCTGCTCCAAGACTCCTACCCATGACACACCTGATGAACTACATGCAGTACAAAAGCAAAAAACACATGCAGATATGAAATCAAGATTAAACCAAACAGACGTAATAAGGTGCGGCAGGATGGATGGATTGTGTTGCCTTTTGAATGTAGTCGAGACATCACATCATGTTGAAGAAGTTGTCCTTGCTGCCGCTCACCCATGCCACCACTTCGCTTACCGCTTTGTCCATGGTGAAAATCCGACCGCCACCAGCGACCAGCCTCACTATAGCGACCGGATCCTCTGTCATCCCTAGGATTTCCGATACGCAGCTACATCCACGTGCTAGTCCTGGCCGCCGTGAGGACGAGGATGAGATCGTTGGTAGAGAGGATCACAATCTGGATGAGACCAAAGGAAAGATTGTAGAGTGTTTTGTGATTGAGAATTTGTGGGCCTAGGTCCCTAGCTAGGCAAGGAAAGTTAAGATTTTTGGAAGGAAAGATTAGGACGGGGATGGGGAGGATCTTCGGTGGTGGGGGTATGGAACGAAATCAAAGACGTGGGGTGGGCCTGGGGATTTCGTTCGATCGATAGGTTAAGAAACGAAACGACGGTTTACTCGTAGCGAGACGATCGAGGGGCCTCCCTCCCTCTTTCGAGCGAGTCGTGGACGATTTTAGGAAGGTGATCGAAAATTTTTAATGCAATTGTTTAATCCGTAATTTGGTATTAAAATATTATGAATATAAAAGCCAAATAAGAAACCAATTCGGTTTTTGATGGGAAGGTGATCTCACGTAAGAAGGTAAGAAAATTAGCACCTACCAAAGAAAGAAGCGCGAGAATTATTACCTGATATAAACCAGGCAGGGTATTAAAGGCAATTACTTTGGTTTTAGTGGCAGGGTGAAAAAACCTATGTATAGGAGAGATGGTGGGAGGGAGGATGAAAAAAGACCAACGAAAATAAACCGTGGATACTATTCACCAACTCAGACATTAAGAGTAGAGATTAGGATTTGGAATTGATTGTCATAAAACAAAATTTTATTAATTGATAACGTGCTATCGGTACATGCCCGTTTATAACGTGTCTAGTTAGGAAACTTTGGAAAAGTTAGGAAAGTTTTTATTGTGAGGGTAAAAAAATCAATGTGAGGAGATATGGTGGTGGGATATGGGACGAAATTAAACCGGACGAAAATAAACCAGACGAAATATAACCAGACGAAAATAAACCGTGGATGCAATCCTACCAACTGCTCCATTAGGAGTAGAGATGAGCACCTCCGAATACCCCTATGAGCACCTCCGAAGGACTGAACCGCATGCTATGATTTTACGAAGTTGCTTACTAGACAGCTTGTAGTCAATGAAAACATCTCGTCACACTTAACGCGCATCACCAAAAATCATGAAATAAATTAAGAATAAATGCGAGCGTCAGAATTTAAATTTTGATGGGCTGCCTTAGACATAAAAAATGGGCTGTATATGAATAATAATTAAAAAAAATTTAAACGAACCACTGTCTTTCTAACCATCAAACCATAGGTTGGATATTAATTGTATGAGGACGGAGTGTGGTGCTTAGCCACACGATGGCTGCCACGTGCACCCCCACGCGTGAGCAGCTGACTGGCCGCCCACGCTTTCGACTCGGACCCTAGCTAGTGTTTTGAAACGATCAA